GAGTCAGAACCGGGTAGGGCCAGACGAATTGATTCTGGGCTAAACATAGGACCCGAACTGGCTCTATCAGAACCAATGGGCACTTGCTGCAAACATTGGGAGAGAAGAGCATTTCTTCTGCTGGGATTGCCAAGCCTGGATGAACAAACACCTGGAGTGCCTACTGACCACATATGCCACCACTTGGGTGTAGCCAGACTGAGAACTACGCCAACTCAGAACCAAGTGATGGAATGAGACAAATTCCTGGGGCTATTATCTGAGGTCCTGGGTCCAGGAATGCCTGGACTTTTCTGCCACTTAGGCCAATAAATTCCTCATTTTTCTTAAATCAATTTGTGTCAGGTTTCTCTTCCAGTTCAAAGAGTCTAAATGAATAGCTCAGAGTGATCAGAACTGAGACCTGGATGCTAGAAATTGCTGGAAGATTTGGAGTACCAGAGGCATTCCTTTAGTTCACCACACATTTGGTGCCTGGGAGAGACTCCGTTCTGTTCAGTAAGATCTGGTAAACCCGTCTCCAAACAACACAGATTTTTTTTGGGAACTTTATCATTTATAAAGCCATACAATGAATTGCAGGAAACAAAGCAGCTGAGCAGGAAGGGGGCAGCGTCAGTGTACAATACATTCATATCCAAGGTCAGAGGCATACTTCAGGAGTTAGACACAGTGGCAAAGGTGATAGGCACGATGATACAAAATATAAAGTATATTTCCATCTATATAAATACACAGCTGGGGATGGGGAGAAGGCTAGGTTATTCAGTTTTTCCTGGAGAGGGCCTAGGGAGGGGACAGGGGCAGGGGTTGGGGGTAGAGAGAAGTGGTAAGGGATTTCTTACATTTGTTTTGAATGACATGTCAGAAAGGAGAAGAGGAAATGGGAAAACACAACATACACACGCAGACACTCTCACACACACACTCACACATACACACAACCAAACTTGTATACTCAGGAGAGTTTCAAACTGTTTAACACTGATTAGAAAACAAATTTGAGACATCCATCGACAATAACCTGGCCATTGAGAAGAGCCTGGTTTGGGGAAATTAACCAAAGTACTCCACCATTTTGCAGATTTCGGACAGAGGAGTCAAGAAGAAACAGAGCTGTCCGTGCCCAACTCATGTGACCTGACTGATCCTCCCCATCACCAACCCATGACCCTGCACCCCTTGCCTCCCGATTCCTTTTGCTGCTGAGTGATATTGAACTTGACATTCCCCACATTCCCTAAAGAGATGAGCAGAATTTGCACACACAGACATGCACACTTACACACGCACACACACACACACATCCTGTTACCCTGGCCAAAGAAATGCACATCTCAGGACTCCAGGATCTGGGTGTAAAGGTGGTTGCAAGCACTCTGCCCCCAACCATTCCAAGGACCCCAAGTGTGGGTAGGTAAAGGAAGGGAAGCAACCTTTGGATGGGGTATTGTCCCACCTGATCTCTTCAGGTATGTCCTGAACATGGGACAAAGGCAAAGGATGGGGAGCAGACCCAGGAGGCACGGTGGGTGGACAGAAGCCTAGAGCAGGGACCAATGGTGTTTATACACACAGACTCCTTTACAGTCTCGACAATCCAAGGAGCCTGACAACTCCGCTCAGGGCCCTCAGAACACGGCTGAAAAATGTTATGCTCTCTCCCTCCTGTCAGCCCATCTCGAGGAATTTCCCTTCTCCAGTTGACTGGTCCCTCCTACTGCCTTGCCCTTGCCTTCCTGGTCAGTCCCTGACACCCTAGCAATCCCACCACCATCAGGGGAGGAGCAAAACTGGTAGGAAGTTCCTACAAGCCTTCCAGAGTTATTGGGGCAGAGCTCAGGTAAGGATGTGGGATCAAAAGGCCTTTCCCAAATCTAGGATATGAAACATCTGTCCCTCAAACACCAAGGGGCCAGGCTACTGTGATACCAAGGTGGAGCCGGGTGAGTCACCATGGAGGGTGATCAAACAACTTGTTTCCTCCCCCTTTCCCCTCTGGTGTCACCTCTGGGAACAGCCCCACGGCCCCACTGGACTTCCCTGCTTGCTGAATCAGAGTGATGTGGCTTCCCTGTCCTCTTACTTCCAGGCACCATATAGATTGGCTGTGGCGAGGTCCCAGGCCTGCCTCAGAGACCTTGCTGGACACAGAAGAACATGATGGGCAGCACTGGGGCCTGGGCCTGCCTGGAGGTCTGCAAGCAGGTTACCATGTTCCTCTTGTTTTTATCAACTTTTCCCAGACCATTTCCCACCCAGCCCATTCTAAAGACCAGATGACACTCTCCTGGTTGACAAACAGGTTCAACAATAAACAACAGCAAATGAGGGGAAAGATACGCATTTACAAAACAACAGTAATGATTATGAAAAGTGCTTTCTTTGAAAGGAAGTCTTTGGCAAGAATATATTGCGTGCTGTGTGTGGTGTTGGTGGAGTGTGCACATGGGTATACAAGCCCACCTGTGTGAGACAGTCTCCATCATGGGTGACTTCCCCACCAGTGTCTGACCCTGAGGGGCTCTGGAAAAGTCACGCTAATGGAGAGATACCATCAAAATCAGGAATCTCAAACTGTTCTAAACCAGCTCCTACCAGAGGTGAGCTGGGAGTGAGGTGACAAGTTTCAAACACTGGCCTGGGGGGCCTTCCCACAGGGTCACACATAGCTCAGGCCTTGGAAGTGGGTTACTGGTGTGCAGTGGATATGTGGGGAAGCAGAGTGAAGGCTGACCCCAGACTCAGTCCCAGGCCTGATGCTCTGTCCAGAAGACGAGGAGAGCCCCCTGGGCTGCTCAGTGGGAAATCATGATTTGTACAAAGAAAGGGATGGGGGAACATCCCCCTCTATATTGGATGGGGGTTGGGGTGATCTAAGGACTGAGGAAAGGGGAGAATCCAGGTATCGAGCATGAATGTCTCAGAAGGAAGGTAAGTCTAGAGAAACCTCAGCCACCTAGCCCAGGGGTCCACTCTTCAGGAAGTCCCTGATCCCCAGCATCTTCAGACACTCTCCTTTCCAACTCCCTGAAACTGAATGTCCACACAGATGCAGCTTCTTGGAGGAGAAATTATACAAAAGACCCATGCATCATCATGACTGCCACTCACACCCCAAGTCCTTCCCATGTTCGTACGCTCCCTTTAGCCTTGGTGAGGGGGCCAACTTCCCAGACATCTCTGAGCACTGACTGCTGGGAAATTAAGGGCATGCCCCTCCCCTCTGAGCCTGGGGCAGAATCCAGGGAGGCCAAACCAAACCAGGGAAAGGAGGCTCCCAGTTGCTCCTACCTCTCAGGCATACATATCAAAAAAGATTAGGATAGTTTATGCCCACAGAGGCAATAAAGTAATATGGAAAAACAATAAATACTTCTTGTCAATTTACCTATTCTCTTTTTTTTTTTTTTCACTCTTTCTTAAATTTTATTAGCTTACAGATTCTGCCAGTATGTCTCATGTATATATTATATATATTTATATATCAGTACAATGCCTCTCTCTAAGGGACCCCATGGGCTTAAGAAACAACTCCAGAACAGAGGCTATGTGACTTCCATTCTGGCTTAAAGTCCTGGGATGGTTGACAGTGGGGTTCCCCATGGCCCAAATGATCCTAGGGCACTCTGATCTAAAGGCATGCCTTCTGTCCTCGGGTCCTTGGGCAGTTTGGCACTGCGGGGAAACCAAGGCAGAAGGAAGAAGAAAGAGGCTTTGGCATTGGAGGGTAGGCCACGTGGTGTAGAGCAGAAGTCCTAGGCCTCAACAGTTGTCACCCTGGCAGGCCCAGCCAGAGGGAGCCTACGACAGGTAGCCCCAAATCACGGAGTACAATGGTTCCGGGCTTCTCCTTTGGCTTCTGGAAGCAGGTTCCCCAGGATGAGGCTAAAATGGGGACCCTGCAGGGCAAAGTAAGAAGGTTCCACCCCCAGCACCCAAAAAGGCATCATGCAGGTAGCAAGTCTGAGATAAGGCTGGTTCTGGGCTGAGGGATGGGGATTAAGGCAGAGTCTAGGGAGCTGGTGGGTACAACCTGCCTACCTTCCTGCTGACCCATACACCAAGCAGAAGATGCCAGAGCCCAATGGATGCTGTTCCTGGTGCTCTCTTTCCCCAAAGCTATGGGCACACATCTCTGTCCCCTCAAGCCAAAGTCCACAGCCTTTTGGCCAAGGTAAAATAGGGGCAATGCTGCCAAAGTGTTCTCTGTAGAGTAGAGGGACTGGGGGCACCCATGGATGCTAGAGGGTAGGTGTGGGGACTAACTGAGACATCCCTGCAGATGAAGTCCTGCCCCCACACTATGCTGTTCTCTGGATTGGATGCACACATGAGCAAACACGGGTCGTGTCCATGTGGAGCTGTTTACACTTGGAGCTGATGTGGGAGCAGGGGGTGCGCACATACAGACACCTGCATGCACAAACACAGCACAGGCCAAGCCAGGGGGCCTGGGGAGGCTGCCAGTCTGAAATACTTCAAAATCGAAAAACGATAGTTGCTTGATGCTTGTGCTGGCTCTGGTGAGGCAACATACCCTCTGGGTGGTCACAAAAAGAGTCTCTCGGCTTGATTTCTCTTTGCAAAGCAAATGGGTTAGGGAGATGGTGATTTTCCAATTTCCCAAACACATGGGTCTAAAGGAGGCTTCTTCTACCTCCTTTGAGGAACTCCATCCTCAGGGGGGGTGGGGGTAGGGGTGAAGGGGAGGTTAGGTGGACCTGGTGAGTTTGGAAGGCTTTGGGTTTTTTTTCAGTTTCCATCGACCTAGGGGAATCTAAATTATTCTCCTCCATTTTTTTTCCTTTCTCTCTGTCTCCTCTCTCTCCCCCAACCCTCTGAAATACACGTTCCTCTCCCCATGTTGCACTTTCTTCTCTCCTTCACCAAAATTGGCCCAAAGTCCTCCTTCTGGATTCAAAGGTGGTCAAGATTCCTGGGTCCCCTCCCCACAAGTCCCATCCCCACTGCCCTGGCCCTGGGCAAGGGGTGAGGGCTCATCTCTTCTGGCCGGCATTCTGCATGACCTTAGAGACAAAGGTGACAATGGCGGAGGCAGGCTGGTTGGGGTCAAGCTCAGCGAAGAGGTGGCAGGCGTTGTCTGTGGTGCTGCCCTGCTTCCGAGCCACAAAGCCAAAGAGCCTACAGGGCGGGAAAAGGCACAGTGTGAGCGATGGGTGCAGAAAGCTCCTCTCCAAATCAACATCTCTCTCCCGCCTCCCCATGGCACCCTGAGAACCAGGATTTCAGGATGGCACTTAAGAGAATCTTCTCTCTATTTCACTGGCTAGAAAACCAAGTCCTGGAGACAGTGTCTCACATTGTCCCTGATGGGCAGAAACTGCCCTTTAAAGGGGACCGGAGGGGGTGGGGGGGTGGGAGGGATGGGGCAGAGGTAAACACAAGACTGGGTGAGGCAAAAAATAAAGTGTGGACATTCCTAGACGAGCTTCTTTTGGTCCACCCCAGTCCCACCCCTACCCGGCTGCTTGTACACGTACCAGCAAATGAATAAAACACTGTCTACCAGTCAAAAGGCTTGGCCTCCGCACACGCCACAAGGTCAGGGAGACAAAAGCCAGACAGTTCTCCTCACTGTTCCCCCCACACTTGCTACTCCTGTGCTCAACAGCTTTAAAGCCCAGAGGGCAGAAGAGGGCAGTGGACCCCCACACCTGTTCCTTCCCTGTCCCAAGCCTGGAGCCACCTAACATTCTCTCTTTACAAAACAGAGTTAAAAATATGAGCACAGAGAACAGAATGTGAGTTCAGGTCCCCTCCCAGCCAGCATGTTGCTAATTCGAGCAAGATGGGGAAATCAGGACAGCTGCAGATTCCAATGGAAACCCCTCTCCCTAGCATTGGGCCACAACAGCTAAAATTAGCCTAGGCGGGGCCAGCTCATGTGGTTGTACACACACGCATTCTCAGTACACACTCACACACTCTCTTGCACGTGCACACATGCTTGTACACTCACACATGCCAACACATACATGCTTACAAACACATGTTCACACATACACACACATGCTTGCACACACATATATGCTCATGCTCACACCCCCACATGTTCACATACATAAACATGCTCTCACACATGCCCACACATATATGTTCACACACATATGTGCTCACACTTACATGCATACTCACACACTCTCTCTCTCTCTCACACACACACACACACACACACACACACACACACAAAACCTTGTGCTTCCTAAAGCTCTATCCCCTCAACTATGTCTCAGGGCCTGGAAACAATAGGTCAAGTTCAAGGACTGCACCCTTCTCTTCCTTTCAAGGCTTGCTCAGTCCAGTGACACAGTGGAGGGGGGCAAAATCAGAGCGAGAACGTGGCTCTGAGCTCCCTTTGTGGAGACCCACTAATCCTGGCATGCCCAAAACATCACCTCTCTGCCCTCCTTGATGGTAAAGGCTCCCCTGGTGCCTAAGGCCAGTTCACCCACAGCAAATCCTCACTCCCCAAGGGCATGGAGGAGGGGATCATGCAATCCTGAGAAGGATGCCTCCTTAATTCTGTACCCAAGCTGTTTCACTTGTCTCACCCTGGTTCAGACTCTGAGCCCCCCTTAGCACCTCTCTCAGTCTCTCCCTGTTGCTTTGGCCCCCAACCTAGCAACATCTCTTCTGGAGGAAGTGCAACTGCAGAGCAGCACCTAACCAAGAAGAACGGCTACTTTTATCCCTGACCCCTCACAGGGCCCAGGGATGAGGGGGCATGAGCACCCTACATCCAACACAAGGACACAGGAGATGCAGAGAGGCCTCCGGGGCCATGTGCCAAATGGCTCTGTGACCGCAGGGGAAGGCTGAGGCAGACTTAGCACCAGCTCTGTGATGACTGCACACCTCAGTCCACCCCTTCAGCTCAGCACTAGCTCCGTAGATGACTTCAGGACCCCACTGTTCACCATCAGTTCAGAGCACTCTTGACTGAAGTGACTTCACTGTAGCCTCCCACACCGTCCTCTTTCAATCTCCGCTCTCTCACATCTTCACTCTACAGGAGCCAGCTGTCTGCCAGCTGTGCTGCTCCTCCCCCTAAACAGTCTCTCCTCTAGTGCCACGCCCATTTCTACCTGCCCAATGGGTCCTGTCCAAAACTGAGTTACCTTGCTGTCCTTCCTCTAGCCCCTACTTCCAGATTCTAAACCCACCCTCTGAAACCCCTCCCTAAAAGTGAAAAGTCTGGTCAACTAGGGGAGGGGCTGGAGCCACACTTACTTTGCAGGGACACCTCCCTCCGCTTTCATCCACCTGTGGAGAGACAGATGATGGCACCAAGTAAACCATGTCCCTTCTTCCCCAAGCCCACTCCCATCCACACCCAGACCATCTGGGGGACAGCAGAGGAGCTCTCATTCTAGGGGTCAGAGACATAGCAGAGGGGACATCTGCGTATTTGTGCAGGACAAGGCTCCCAGGGAGGACATCAGCACAGCTACTGACATTCCCACAGACACAGGGAGAGCGCCAGCCTCCAGCCACGTACACACACTTCAGTATAGACAGCTAGGTGCAAGGGAGGGGTCTACAGACTTACTTTCTATCCTGTGGATCCAGGGCACAGAAAGTCACAGTGTTGAGGGGATAATGTCGTCTGAAGAAGAGCCTGTAGTGCAGACAGAAGGTAGAGAATGAATGTTTAAGTGAGAACTTCCCCCAACTTCTATCTGCAGGTCAGGCCACCTTTCCACTGTCTGTAACAGACATGGGTTGCCATAGCCTTTGCTTACTTCTATGATGTTCCACAACCTTGTCTGTGGGAGCAAGATGGCCTGAGCCGTTCACACTGGGGACATAAGCAATGCACAGGGAAAAAACAAATTCCATATAGAAACATCTCTAAATTTCTAGGGGCCAGGAAAGGAAGGAAAAAACTGGTACTGAGAAAGAGTAAGATATGAAGGGACACTGACAAGTAAGGGATGGACAGGAGGACACTGTGAGGAGAGGGTCTGAGGTGAAGAGTGAGAAGAGGGCCTGAGGTGAAGAGTGAGGAGAGGGTCTGAGATGAAGAGTGAGGTTCAACCTTTAGCCCACAGATTACCAAAGAAAAGGGGGATGGAGTGGAAGCTCCTAAAATGAAGGACCTTTTACGCCCACGACAGGGGCTCTTTGTTAAAAGATGGAAGGTATGAATGGATGGCTCAATGAATGGAGGGACAGAAGAAGGGTGGGTAGATGGGAGTGGATGAAGATAGGATTGCTGGATTAGTTGGTAAGTGGCAGGACAAGTGGATGGATGGATGAGTAGATGGATGCATGTATGAAGGTGGATGGAAGATGGATGAATGGGTAGATGGAGGACACAAATTAATTGGTAAATGGATGAGTACATGTAGGGATGGAGGGATAGATGGGTATAAGGAAGTAGGAGAGGAAGGGATAGATGGATGATAGAAAGGAAAGCCCAACACAGATGCAGGTAGAAGATTCTTACTTTCTCTGGTTGTCAGTCAGTGTGATTCCCTGGGCTGAGACTTTGAAGTGAACAATGGTAGCCGCTGGTGTAGGGTCAGCAGCCAGTGTCTCAGAAGTAGCTTTGGAGATGGCCTGTGGCCCCGTGAGTGACTCCATGTCCACAGAGTTGACGAACAGCACATTGCAAGCTGGAAGAAACCCCACCAAGAAGTCATGGTGGGGACCAAGCCCTAGGTCCACTCTTCAGGGAGTCAACTTCAGGTCAGCCTTGAGCCAAGGCATGGAAATATGGTCTGCCCAAAGGAATCTGGGTCTGGGAGAGACATCTAGCCTACATATGCAGGAGGACGGGGAAGGAAGGAGCAAAGGGCCTGGGCAGGGATCCAGCCCCCAGTGGTCACTCACCTGCCCCTTGCTTTAGCAGGTCAGTGGTTGAATTGGCAGAGCCCGAGCTATCTTTCAATTCATCTGTGGGGTCTGAGACAAGAATTCAGGTGGAAATTAAAACTCTGAGCTTGAAAGAGACACAAGCTTAGTTGGGCCTGAGGCGAGCAATGCAAAGTACCCCAGGCAGCTCAGCAAATCCTTTCTATGACAGATTCTGCCTTTAATAACAGAGCACGCTGTTCGTGTTCAACGACAGCTCTCAGCATTCAGCCCCCAGGTTAACTGCTTTGGGTTCTAGCAGAACTGAGTACCTGTAAAGTGGAGATGATCATAATACAGTGCTTAGCCCAGTGCTTGCCATAAAACAAGCCTTCAAATGGCATTGTTGTTGTCATTGTGACTCTGCCTTGATAATGGAGAACAATAATGATCCAGATTCACTAAAGCACGCATGCGTGCCGCAAAAGGACTACTCCATACCAATAAGAATTGAGTATTACTCATACTACTGGTGTTCAGGCTTTGATGTAAAGGGTTTGTTAAAATGTTGGCTGTCGAGTCCCACCCCCAGAGTTTCGGGTTAGATGGGACCTGAGAATTTGCATTTCTAACAATTCCAAGATGAAGCTATTACTGCTGGTCTGGGGAACCACACTTTGAAAGCTACTGGTCTATACAATTTAAATATCACACCATTTTACAATTGTTGAACTACTATGATAAACGGAATAGAAAAATAATTGAATTCGAATCTGCACTGTGTAGTCAACAATGCTATTTAAGTTTTTCTTTAATTTGAACTTTTAAGTTACTAACATTGGTCAATTATTAATAATTCAATGAATCAAATTATTTTTATTAAAACATATTTTTAATAAAGAATTAATTCAATTTATCCAAATTGAAACTGTCAAGTAACATTGAAAGTTAGATGTGTGGTAGGCCAGCAGCTCCAAGAGAGACTGGAAGAGAGTCCAAGGGGCAGATCTGAAGACCCTATTATTGAACAAACCATGTAAGGCAGAGTTACCCCGGTTCCCAGATCCTAGACCAAGTTCAGGGCCAGGCACTATCATCTTCACATGAGCCTGGGATTCTTGGGGGCTAAAGGATAGCAGCCTGTACTATGAAGAGCTTGTGAACTCCATCCACCATCCTCCAGGGTTGAAACAACTCTATGAAAGAAGCTAAAATTTCCCCCAGCCCCAATGACTCACTCAAACTTTTGTCCTGTATGTGGTGATGCTCTTGGGTTCTATTCAGATTAAAGAGAACTTACTGTTCCTCACGACTCAACCTCCCTCAGTCAGCCACACAGACTAGACACTCCAGACCCCACCCATCCCTTCATCTATGCAGAGCTAAGCCAGCTATTGGTCTAAAAGATCCCTCAAAGGCACTCTTGCCGGTTCATTCAGGCCAACCCTTGAGAACACTGTTGTTGCATTTGTTAAGTGCTGTGGAGTCAGTTCTGACTCATAGTGACCCTGGAGTGGAGCTGTAGGATCAGCACTGGACTTCGAAACACAGGGTCAGCAGTTCAAACCTACCAACTGTTCCTCGGAAATCCTCTGCAGAGTCAGAACCAACTCGATGGCATAGTAACAGCAGCAACAAATCTTTGTGGGAGCAGAATGTAGATGTCCAGGACCGAAATCAGCCTTTCACCTCCTTCCCTCCATCTTCCCGGCTGGCTGCCCACCTCATCCTCCTTGTGTTGTCCTCCCATGACTGTCTTCTCTTCCATAACCCCCCTGGGGCGAGACTTAGTCTAAGGACTCATTGTGAATTTCTTGAAGCCTCCAAAGAATTTTCCAGAACAATCTGGCAAGTCAATTATGTATATTCCTGGAGTTAATTTTCTTAATTAATTTCTCTTTCTTCTTTATTAGGAAATAAAAAAGGAGAGAGGTTTTGCCTTTCCTGACATTGGCAAAATGACCCAATAGACCTGGCCCACGTTTCAAGGTGACTGGCAGGGCTGAGACATGGAAGGAGGCCAGTTCAAGACTCATATGGTGAGCAAGGAGGCTCACGTTCCTACCTCGGTTTGGAATGACCAGTTTACAGGGCAGAGCCAATGGGATGATGGAGTGCTGGTAGACCAGGGCAGATAGAGATCCTGCAGAGAGAAAGAAACAGCACATCAGGCCCCTCCTATATGTAATCTTCTGTTTTTCTATTACCTTGCTCTCATCCACCAATAAAGCTGAAAATCCACCCCTCATTTTTTTTTTTTTGTCTTGCAAGGTCTAAGGGAGAAGGGAAGGAGCTCTGTTAGTGTAGTGGTTACGAGTCGGGCTGCCATGCCAACCTCAAGGTCAGCAGTTCGAAACTACCAGTGGTTCCATGGAAGAAAGATGAGGCATTCTGCTCCCGTAAAGAGTTACAGCCTCAGAAACCCTGTGTGGGGTCGCTATGAGTCAGAACTGACTCCACGGTACTTAACAACAACAACAAGGGTGAAGGGAGCTCTGGTAGCATCCATAGTGGTTACGGATCAGGCTGCGAACCTTAAGGTCAGCAGTTCAAAACTACCAACTGTTCCATGGGAGAAAGGTGAGGCTTTCTGTTCCCGTAAAGATTTACAGCCTCGGAAATCCTGTATAGGGTCGCTGTGAGTCAGAACCGACTCCACGGCACATAACCACCACCACCACAAGGGAGTAGATTCCAATGGCTCATTCTTGCAGTCTTAAAGATAACTACCAACTTTCCTTTGTCGAAAGTTCCTGCTAACATCTCTCTAACCTAAATCCCCTCCAGTTTTACGGTCCTTCTCAGGACAGCTCAATTGAAATATCAGGGGGCTCTGAGGCCATAGAATTGGGGGATCAAGTCCTACTTCAGTCACTTACTCTTTACATGCATTTGGTAAGTCTAACTTCCATGAACCTTAGTTTCCTCATTTGGGAAATGTGGGCAATGACACCCACCATGCAAAGTAGTTGTGAAGATCAGAACTAACACAAGGTACCTAAACAGTGACTTCCGCAGAGTAGGTGCTGAATGGGGGCAGCTACTCAGTGATAATGTTATCCAGTTGAAAGGAATTCACAGAGGTAAGGAAGTCACTTCATTTTCTGTTCAATGCTCATTACAAGACAAGGGGGCTGGGCAGAGCCTGCAGTGGGAGGAACTTGGGGGTCAGAGTCCTGGAGGAATCCAGAACAAGCCTGAGCCTTTGGGGCCAACTCTGGAGACAGTGGCAAGGTGAACGCTTACCGAAGTTTGGCTCATTGGGGCATCCCTTGAGCTTGACTCCTCTGGGACCGGTCTCAATCAGGAAATGCCTCACCAGCTCATGGGTCATGTCTCCTGGGATGAAGAGAAAGAAATGCATATTCATCACTTCTCAAAGTGTCCTTCTACCTCTTCCCAAGAACGCTTCATATTGTTGCTGTTGTTAAGTTCTGTCGAGTCCGTGCCGACTTATAAAGGGTTTTCTGAGAAAGACCCTGTAAAGGGTTTCTGAGGAGCGGCTAGTGGGCTTGTACTGTGGAGTTTGTGGTTCTCAATCCAGTATTGATTCTACAGTGCCACACCAGGAGTCCAAGAGTGCTTCATAACTTCCCCAATATGCAGGGCTAAGAAAAGAGAAAAGGCTCTGGAACAAATATGTGAGAATGCTCTAGAATGAATCCTCCCAGCTCACCCCTCATGGAAACCTAACCACAGAGAGCTGGTAACCCCCATGTCCCATTCTCTGCCCCCAACCATCATTGAACCCAAGCCTTGCTCTGTTGAAGAGTCTAACGTGGCAGGGACCAGCTCTGGTAAGATAGTCCCTCTGGGTCCTTCCAGCATCTCAGGCTTGAAGATTGAACAGACGACCTAGTTCTGAGGGCAACACTCTTAAAGACGATGCTACCTTTTTTATTCTGTTGCATGATGGTTGGAGGGGGAGAAGACACTTTCATGGCCAGCCCGTATGCTCCTCGGAAGGAATGACTGTCGCGGATGATGAAGGCCCCTGGTTCCTGGTCCTTAAGGAGTGCAATGGCTGCATTGGGGAGAGATGAAGAGAGGGAGGCAAGAAGTTAAATGACACTGGATTTACTTAGGTCCCCCCGCATTCATTCTTGGTGAAACGACTTCTTTAACATTAGAATTTAAATATTCTCAAAGATCCTCCAGGAGTTCCTGGGTTGTGAAAACAGTTAACAGACTCAGCACTGCTAACCAAAAGGTTGGAGATTCAAATCTACCCAGAAGAACCTTGGAAGAAAGATCTGGTGATCTGCTTTCAAAAACCAGCCATTGAAAGCTGTATGGAACACAGTTCTACTATGGCACACTTAGAGGTTGCTGTGAGTCGGATTCAGCTGTGAAGAATCCTCCTACGCTAGTGATCAGCAAACCTTTTCTGTTAAGGGCAGTAACATGCTAGGAATTGTGGGTTATGTAGTGTCTACTGCACTTACTCAGATCTGCCACTGCACTGTGAAAGCAAACATCAGCAATGCATAAATAAATGGGTGTGCTGGTGTGCCCACAAAATGGTATTGACAAAACTAGGCAGGGTCTGCCTTTGCCACTTGGTTGGGCCATGGTTGCTGACCCCTGTCCTAGACTCACAGACTTCCTCTGGGAGCTTGAAGGAGGTTTCATCTCTCATCTCCTCATCCCAACATCTCCTGCTTTATGAAAACCAAGAGTTAACACTTCTGTTTTTAAGGATCCCTCAAAGGGTCATCTGCTATCACTGACTGCTATCCCATATTGCACTGTGGGAAGGTGTTGGTTGCTGTCTGACTTTTGCCCTACTACAAGAAGGAATGGGGGTCTTCTCTGGTTTGTGCTCCTTGCCCAGGGAGGACCTGTACCTAGGCAGCAGCAGCCAGCTGTGCTGCGAGTGTCCACTGGGCCCAGTGCAACCTAACACTTACCCTGCTCTCGTGAGATCTCAGGCTTGTACCAATACTTGGAAGTGTCCTGAACAAACTTCACTTTAGCCCGCGTCTCAGGGCTGTTGTCTAAAAGAGAAAGAGAGGAAAAGAAAGTGATACTCCTCCGTCATCCCCAGAACAAAGCAAGAAGGGACCTGGACTGCCCTCACAACCACACTGTGTCTTCAGGAAGGAGGGGCCTCCATCACTGAGATCACTGAGCTGTTCTCTTGTTGAAAGGCCTAGCACAGCATTCGCACTGAGCCAACTGAAGATCCTTCCTCCACCCTATCTCCCCCTTTCCCTTGAAGATTCTGACTTCCTCTAGCTTCTTTCCCATGAGCTAAAGCACCCACCACCTAACCCCTTTCTTCATAAGCTCAACTTTCCAGCACTATCGGAACAACCTTGAGGTTACAGAAGGAAGCATCATTCATACTCCCAAAGATGCATTTCTGACACCTTCTCCCCAGAGCTCATCCTCCAGCTGGGCAGTCCACACTCTGAATCACATAGGGCAAAGAATCAAAAGGCTCAGTTACAAGTTAAAGACTCTCAAGTGTGTGCCATGGCAAATCCCCATCCCCAGACCCTCTGGAGATTACAGACATTTTCATAGGTTCTGGATGGAAGCCTGAAGAACATCCAGTCCAACTACCTATTTTACAAATGAGAATAGGGAGGATCAGGAAGGGGAAGTGAGTCTCCCCAAGTCACACAGATGTTTAACAAAAAGGTTCTAGTAAGACCTTCCTAGATAAGAAGAGCCTGGCAGTCAGTTCAGGATTACTTCTACCAAACCTTCCTGTTCAGATATTAAGATGTGTGGCTCTAACTCTCCAACTCTTTCTTCATCTTTTGATATTAAGCAAAGCAAAAGAAAAGAAAGAGGAAGAAGGATTTTTCCTTCTTCAGAGAGCACGGGAGCACGGGAGCAGTGGTAAAAATGCTGTAGGAGAAAAGTTGTAGACACAGGTTGTGTTTCCAGTAATGTGTTGATTTCAACTTGGGATTTAGTGCTGTAGGATAAGCATTGGACTGCTAATCAGAAGGTCGGCAGTTTAAACCCACCAGTCACTCCTCAGAAACCCTATACAGGGCTGCTATAAGTTGGAAGTGGCTTGATGGCACTTAACAACAAAGACTTCTGGGAAGTAACCCTGGTGGTTAAACACTTAGTTGGTAATCAGAAGGCTTGAACCCATGAGCTGCTATGCTGTGGGAGAAAAGTGGAGTAGTATGCTTCTCTAATGCCTTATAGCCTTAGGGGTCCTATGGGACCCTCCCACTCAGTCCTGTATGGTCACTGTGAGTCAGAATTCACTGGAAGGATAGTAATGAGTTTGCTGTTTGGGAGTTAGATTTCAGACATGGACAGTGAGGGGTAGAGCAGCATCCTTTCCTGGCAGAGGGCACTGCAGCTGGCCGCTGGACTAGGCTGCTGGACCCTGTGAGTCATGCATGCTGCGTGTGGCTCTGCTCTGAAGCCCCCAGACCCCGCGGCTGCTCTGGGCTGCTTAATGAGCTGCCAGAGGCAGCTACAGTCCCATGTGCCTTCCTGTGTTGATTCTAGGGCTATTTTAAGCAGGGAAGATGGTGGGAAACAGGAAGTACTCCAACAACTCAACGTTCAACATCCTCCAAGGAGAAGAGCTGGGACCAGATGTCCCTGGTGGGTGACAGGATGCAGGGGTGTGCCAGGTCACTGTAAGTGTCCCAGCTTGGCAGACTTAGGGCAGGAGTTGATAGGGGCAGACGGAAAATCTGGGCAGCTGGGGTCCATCCCAGGCTCCCTGAAGCATTCTGAATTGCCTTGAATGTCCCAGGGCCGAGTCAGGTTGGAAGTGTAATTGAGAAGATACAAATCTGCTGAGGCCTGGACTCTGAGTTAGAAATGAGCTCTCTCCGTGGAAACAAAGATGCAAGTTCTGGAGAAGAGTGATGGATTCACTGGGCAAGGCTGCGTTGGCTTCGTTAAAGCCAGGAGGGTAGAAAGTAGATTCCAATGAAAATGTCTGACTTGTGGTCTGGGTCCCTATCACAACTGGCTGCCACATCTATTATGAAGGGGTGTGAGCACAACGAGGACCCAAAAAAAGTGCTCTGTAACTTGGTCAGTTTTGGAGATCCAGGCTTGGAAGTTAGCTTTTCATGGCGACACTAAATCACAGTAACTTTCAAGATATGAAATTTGATCATGACAACTTCAATCATGTGTTATGAGCGCTAGTTTTAGATGGGCTTGGATTGGAATCTAAGCTCTACCACTCACCAGCTGTAAGACCCTTGACAAATATCTGAGCCTTCCTAAGTCTCAGTTTGCTCAAATGCAAAATAGGGCGATAAAATCTACTTTATCAGTTGGCCATAAACATGAAATGAGATAGCAAAGACCCAGAACATAATCCATGCTCAATAAATGGTGGTGGGAAGGATGATAATACTAGCAATACTAAGGAATCCTGGTGTGGTGCTGGAGGATAGGCACAGGGTCATAAAGTCAGTTTGAACCACAAGGTCCGCAGTTCAAACTCACCAGCCGCTCCATGGAAACCCTATATGGAACCAATTTGACACCAGTGAACAACAACATGATGATGATCATCATCATCTGTACCTTCACCTGCATCATTGCCCCCAATAGCACATTTGCCTTGAGGAAACTCCCATTATATAGGAAACTGAGGCTCAGAGGTCACAGGTCCACCCAAGGGGACCACCAAGGGAATACCAGAACAGGGACCTGGGCAGATGCCACGACTCTCAGACTTAATTTGCCAACTAGAGCATCAGCAGAAGGATGGAGATGGAAGGGGAGAGGCCCACCTGGCATGGAATACTTGGAGAAGTCAGGCAGAGTGTGGGAGAAGGAGACTGTGCTGCCCCCACTGGGACTGGACATGCCACTGGCCATGGGTGAGGAGGACACCTTCCCGTTGATGGTGGCGTAGTTGGGGAGGCTCCCTGCCCGGTCTCCCACTGACATCCTCCGCTTCTCTGGCAAGGCTGGTGTCGGGCTCCCTTGCCTGAAGGCTGCTGAATCTGGCGACGGGGAGGTGGTAGGGCTGCTCAGGCCCGGGTAGTAGGCAGGAGAGACAGGAAAGGAGGGTGTGGAGGGAGCCTGGTAGCCAGATGAACTGCTCTGCCTAGACAACGTAGGTCTCCGGTCGTCAGGGGTGGAGTAGCCTCCATAGGCCACATGTCGGTCCAAGCTAGGGCTGCCAGGAACTACAGAACCCGACCCTCCCAGGTGACGGCCCAGACTGGGGCTGCCAGGGCTTCCTACTGAATTGCCATGGAGACTGGAGGCCAGGTTGCTTTGGTGGGCCCCAGCGTGCCGGCCTAGGCTAGGGCTCCCCGGAGTGGTCACTGCAGTCCCATGGAAGCCTGTGGCCTGGGGGCCTCCTGCTGGGTGTCGGCCCAGATTGGGACTTCCTAGAGTGGTCACCGAATTGCCTTGGAAGCCTGAGGCCTGGGGGGTCCCTGCTGGGTGCCGGGACAGGTTGGGGCTCCCTGGAGTGGTCGCTGCACTGCTCTGGGGACTAGAGACCATGCCACCGTGGAAACCAGTTCCTGTATTCCCATGGGGACCCATCACCTGGCGGTGACTCAGACTGGGGCTACTGGGGGCAGCCATGCTGGGGTTGGTAGCACGCCGGCCAAAGCCAGGACTAGGGGGAGTATTGGTGCCCACTGTCCTGTGGCGTGACTGAGGGCTTCCAGGCACTGTGTGGATGCCGGGCACACTGAACTGAGGCCGGGTCTGGCTTTCCGGAGACGAGTTGAACTGCTGGAGAGAGTAGTCAGGGCTGCTGTAGCTGCTACCCACTGTCGGGAGAGGAGAAGAGCTCGGGTAGCTATGCTGGGCTGAAGGGCTGGGCTGCCCTAAGCTTCCAGAACGGAAACCAGAATCCAACAGAGGCTGGGTGGGTGTCCGAGGGCCCTGCTCACTGCTCTCCCCTGATGGAAAACTCCCCACGGAAGTGCTGGAGAGAGAAGGCAGATTGAGTGGTCAGTGGATGGCATTTAATGAAGCAATGAAGAGTAGATTTCCCCAGAGCACTTGGCCCCTCCCTCCCACCACTAACACCTCCCACCTCTCATACCAGTAACTACCAGCCAAGCACAGCATCATCTTGGGCCTTTACACAGAGCAAGCCCACAAGGTGGACATTATCTTCCTCATTTGACAGAAGAAACTGAGGTGCAGAGAGATTAAGCAACATGCTCAGGAGCACACAGCCCATAAAAGATGGCTGAGGTTTCAGCTCCACTAGGTCTGATTCCTAAACCCGTGTTGTTTCACGACATTCTCAGCATCACAGAAACGGAACATCAGGGAGGGGTCAGACCATCTGGGTCCTGATCCTACTAGGAGTAACCCCATTTTTACTCAATTTCCGCTGTTGTCATAACACTATCCTTAAACATTATCAGCTTCTAGCACTTTAGAATGCTAAAGTAGAGGCACCAAAAGCAAAAATCAAGGAATCGAGCTGTGTGTAGGGGAGGGGAGCTCAAATAAGGATGTTTCCACTCATTACAAGTTGGAATTTCTAGCCATTGGATCTGGCCACTAATGGTGTAAGCGTCATGGCCCATTTCTGAGGCTCCCATCACTAGAAGTTACGCAGAAGCGGACAGACATCTTGACCCGGATGATTAGCAGGCAATTTCCTCTACTGAGGAGTTAGATCAGGTGAGCTTAGAGGTCACTCTCAATCTAAGATTCTGATGAAATTCAGTTCAGAGGAGACTGTGCCTGGAAGAATAGCCACCAGAAAGGTTCTCCTCTGGAGATTAATTAGGACAAGTTCCCACGGAGGACTGCAATACAACACAGTGGTCTGGGAGCTGGGACACATGGATTCCACTTGTTAACGTTGTCCCAGGTGGACAAATGAGAGGACTGGATTGTTGTTGTTAAGTGCCATTGAGTCTGTTCTAACTCATAACGATCCTGTAGAGGATTTCCAAGGAGCAACTGGGTTTGAACCTCTAACCTGTGGTTAGCAGTACAGTGCTGATCCTACAGCACCACACCAGGCCCAAACCTTTATCCATTGATGACATGGCAGGGGAGGGACAGAGCTGATATGGACTTTGGGTAGCAGCAGCTTCAGGGAGGCAGCAGACAGACGAGACCCCAGGAGCCATGTGGACAGGTAGTTTATAGACAAGGGTCTCGCTCAGGGCCTAGCTGGGTAAGCTTGGGTTCTCTGGGTGATCTGAAGTTTGGGAAGCTGGGTACTATTGGGTCAGGGGAAAGTGAAGAGCAGGGAGAACGTCAGGGCCAGAACAAAGTCTACTTGGCACTTCAGAGAGGGGGGCCAGAGTGGAACACCATTTCCTGGTGTAGAACACACTGGACTCTGAGACATGGAGCTAGAGCCGGATGCATCAGGCTGAGCAGGGCAGAGGTTAGGCTGGGGGGAGGGGGGTTGGGGGGGGTTGGAGGAGGGAGGCGGGAGGTGGGAGGTGGTGTGAGGACAGAGACACTGAAATGAAGTTCTGGGAAATTAATTCCAGAGAAAAAAACACTAGCTTCCTGAGTCCTAACAAGAGTCAACACTATAGCAAGAGAAATTTGGGTGAGAAAAATGAAGAACTTCCTAACCCCAGGGGTCACTGAGCATCAGTAATGGGGGGCTGGACAAGTTGGGAAAATCCCCTTCCCTCTGCCCAGACCTGAACCTCCTGAAACATGGAGGCACCACCTGCCCTGGCAAGAGGCTGGGTGAGGGGGCCAGGTGAGCTGGGAGATGCATATGTGGCTTAAGGTTGCAGTACTCATAGACTCTCAGGGAAAAGCACCTTTGTGCACCCTGTCACCCAGGTCCCTCCCACCGGGACCAATTTAGGGTCTACAGGCAACTCAGGCCACTGGGCTTGGCCTGTGGGAATGCAAAGAAGGAGGCAACTGGAGACTTTCCCAGGCTTCCAGGTCCCATAGGGGCTTTGGCTAGGGAAGGGAGTAGGCAGTGGGGCCAGGGCAAATTAACCTGCTCCTCCTTCCACACTGGTACCCTGCACCATCCTGAGCTGACTGCCACTTTCCTATGCCATCTTCCCCTCTCCTAAAGCCTTCATGCTTCCAACTATTCCAGTCAAACAGCTTCTCACTGCACCCCAAATATGGGGGCCCTCCATCTTCTGAGCTTGTCGCATTAACTATCCCCCTTCCCCTTTCCAATCAGAGGCTGTCCTTTGACAGTCAAAAGGCAAGCTTCCCCTCCATCAGTACACCCTCCAAACACCCTACCCCTGCCCTACAAGCTGCAGACCTCAGCCCTCACACTTGTTATGTTGACACCTCTGGTCCTGCGTCCTTTCTGTGCTGACCTTCTGGACTGCCTCTAGCTCCTTCTTCACCTCTCAGCATCCTGCTCATCCTGCTAGACTCCACAGATACCTCCAGCCTCAGAAACGCTCTCTGCATCCCTGGCCAGAAATAAGGACTCCTTGCTCTGAGTGCTGACCACTGAGTGTGTCCCTGCCTTGGGGCTTGCTCTCATCACACTTAGGCATAAGACGCAGGTGTGGGAACTGTTAGAGACCTGGGCTCCACCAGGCAGTTTTGATCTGAATTTGATTTCTGCTGCCATTTACCTGCATGCCCTTGAGCAAGCTACTTGATCTCTCTGTGTCTCAGTTTCCTCCTCTGAAGAAATGGGAATGATAACAGTACCTGCCTCATAGGATGATGGTAAGAATTAAATCATGTAACTGCACAAAGCACTTAACACACAGCTGGTAACCAGGAATGACTGCTGTTAGAATTTAAACTTAGGGAAGGACTACATCTCTATCATCTCTGCGACCTTCACTCCTTCCAGCACAAAGCTGGATGGATCCAATTGAATTGAACCTGGGAATTCTATCTTATCCATCCTGTAATCCCCACAGGATCCGGCACTCGGGGGATGCTCTGCAAATGCATGCTGGTGAACTAGCTGACAGCATGTGATTCCTAATGTCCACCATCTAGGCACTCAAGCCTGAGTTCCCATCTCCCACCCACCACACACTCCTGCTTACCTGTCAGCACTGAGGATGGGGCTGCTGGTGGAGAGGGGGCTGGGAGAGATAAAGGAGCCACCCAGCACCCCGTTCCTCAAGGGTGTTTCATGGCCATAGGCTTGGGCAGCTGGGGCACTAAAGCTCTTGGGCTCAGGCTCCTGGGCTCGGGGTCCAGCCACTGCTGTCCGTGCCACAGACTCAACATAGCTCCGGGGCTCTGAAAGGGACAAGGAGACAGACTCTGAACACAGACCCACAAGAACACAGCCTGCCCAGAACCCAGCTGATAGGGAAAAACGGCACAGGGACGGCCCCAAAATGGCAACCGGCCATGCTTGGTGTGCCACTTTGGGTGTCTGACTGTCCATGCCCAGCCCTCTTCCAAGAGCCTTGGATGGAGAAGCTTGGAAAGGTCCAACAACCTTCCACCACTGTCTGACTCTAGCAAGCTTTCCAAAATGCATCCCAGGTTCAGCTTTGAACATGGCCATCAGAGAACCTTCCCTCAAAGAACTAGGGCAGTGATCCATAGTTGGAGCCCCTTTAGCTGCTTCTGTACCTCAATGACCCTGTCTTCCAAGGCCTGCTAAGCTCCCCAGGCCCCACTTCAAGTGGTAGGCTGTACAGTGAATACAGAGCTTGGTCTGGCCTTGCCCATGCCTCAGGACAGTACCAGTATTCACATAGGCTCCTCCCCACAGCCAGAATCCAAGCCAAGCTTGCTTGCCTAGCAACAGACCTGCACTGGGAGTCATGCCCAGCACTGGCCACAGCCAACTTGCCAGCTCCAATGTCTTTGACGCCAAGACACACCCATCCAGCTCTGCCTGACACACTTAGCATTCCTCCCCAGACTGACACCCGGAGACTGCTCCTGTAGGAACTGGACATTCTATTGCTGACCTCTTGCATTTCAGCAGCACTTTGCAGTTTGCAAGGTTTCAAAAGTTCATGGAAAAATGGAATGAAGATACTGCAAATTTCCCATCAACTTTTTAAGGCCCCCTGGTACCTTAGCCCCACTTGGTGTTCTAAGTTTCCTCAGAGGCATGGAGGATGAGCGTCAAAAAACCATTTTGCAGATAAGGACTCTGAGGCCCAGAGAGTGACATTACTGGAGACACAGTAGGCTTCAGGTCTCCTGATTCTCAGCCCAGCAACTGTCCCAGTCCCCCCCACAAGCCTCCTCCCTCCACAACACATGCTCCATGATGCCACCTCTGGGTGGTCTAGAAAGGGGACACAGCCTCATGGGGACTCCCAAAGCTAGCTGTTGTCCCACCCACACCATTCCCCAAACCAAGGCCCAGCCAGTCAGCCAGAAAAGGGCCAACTCCACAGGACTAGTCATACGATAAAAATAGCAATTATATGAGGAAAGTACGATTTGGAGAATGTAAATAACTTATCCAAGACAACTAGCAGGTGGCAGGGTGGGCCTAGGAACCAGGCAGTCTGGCCCAATGTCTACAAACTGACTCCACTGCTCATAAGCCCAACGTAAAACTGGGGAACTGATAGGGTCAATGTGTGTCTTTAGTCTTTGGAAGCTGGCTCTTGGACCTGGGGTAGCCCCACATGGCAGAAGGAATCATCAGAGGAAGCTTTGCACCCACAGAAATGGCCAACAAGACCCAGGACAACCTGGCATGGCCATCTGGGTTACTTTTTCCTCCTGGACCCTTCCAGACACTCACCCTGGGTTCCCGTAGTGCTAGACACCCCTCCATGCCCTCCCTCCGGAGACTGCAAGGGAGTCATCTCGCTGGGCTTCCTGAGTGCTTAGAGCCTGCCTTGCTGATCTGCAATCTTAGAACCTCACACAGCGCCCAGCATGAAGGAAGAACTCACATGTGTCTATCACACGAATGAGTATCATGACCTGCAGCCCCATCCAGACAGAAATACATAATAGCAAAGACCTAGAGAAACATCTAGTGGTCTCATTCCCTAGAGGTCTTGTTGACCCAATAAAGCTCAAGCTGTGTTTGCCTCCAATCCACTGAGGTCCCCCTGATCTCTACCTTCATCCCCAAAGGCTGACTTTGCCCAACTGCAAAGTTGCAGACCAACTTTTCCTAAGGCTCCTGATGGCTTTGGTCTTTGCCCCATAGGTGGGACTGGCAGGAGATGAAAAGAAGGCGGAGAGGACCAAGGTGCCAGTGGCTGAATCTCTACCAAGATTACAGCTCTGCTCTCTCCTGGTTCCTTCTGGCCTGGTGTGGGGTGGGCTTCCAACTTCTGCTAAGGAGTACCTGGAGGTGTTTCACCATCTCTCACGGGTTTGCCCAGACCTTTTAAACAGCCCATTAAACTCTCCTTGAGTGCCATCTTCATGAGGTATCCACTGAGTAAGCACCTCACTGCCCTTGCTCCCCACCCTGGAAGGTAGAGAAAGTGCATGCACCCCATCTACCAGCGGTAGAAGTGAACTAAGGTGGGCTGGACTATGCTGACTCCCATCTGGTCTAGTGCCCATTAGACAAGGCTGAGTTCCACTGAATCTTCTGGTGACCTGAGCTGGGTGTCAGTTTGCGTTCAGGATCCATGAAACCATAAGTATATTGTTGTTGTTAAGTGACATCAAGTCAGTTCCCACTCACAGGGACCCTGTACAAGGTTTCCAAGGAACAGCTGGTGAGGTTGAACCACCAACCTTGTGGTTCAAAGTGACCTTTCAGTCCAGCACATTATCCCACAGCACCATACCAGGACTCAGTGAGTATATTAGGAACCCTGAATGTTCCAGAAAACCAGAGATGGCTATAGGTTGGCATCAGTCCATCAGCCCATTCCTCAAACCCCTCAGCCCTAAGCTACAAAAAGCCAGGGGAGCTCTCAAGGGACTCTGAAGTCTGAAGCTGGGGAGACGGGACTGCTTACCTCAGGAGAAGCAGCAGGAGCTGTGGCCACCAGTGTCAGGAATCAGTTCTGGTGGGTGCAGGTGACCACGTTCACCAAGGGCACACCAAACCTCGGGCATTGAGCTGCGCTGCCAGCCTGTGGGTTTCCAGGCCCCGCCCCCACCCTGGCTCGGCCCCCTCCACCTGCCCTCCTCTTGCTCTCCACCCATGTCCTCCTCCTCCCGTCCATTCCTTTTCCACAGTGAAGTGGTCTGCCGGACGGTGTTCCATGATCAGGAGTGAAGTCCTTCCATGCGGCCTCCATTCCTCATGAGCCAAGAGGGACACCCCCTTTGGGTAGCTATTTGACTTCCTGAGTCCATCTCCTGAATTGTTTAAAACCAAGCATCTGAGCCAAATATCTGTTCTCCCAAGTTTTCAGACTCAGATTTCCATACTAAAACCACTTCCTTCCTCAGTCTGTTCCTCAGCATTTTTCTCTCCTCCTTGTCCCCCACCCCCAGCCCAGGACAACAATACTAGTATGCAGACAATTGTCCCATAAGTAAGACCACAGACCCTTGTTTCACTTCCTAGAGAGGCGGTCTGGGTCAGGCTGGTGAGTCTTTCTGTGACTCAGTTTCCTCATCAGTTAAATGGTCGTGAGGATATTCACCTGCCCAGTCAGCATTAAAGGATAAGAGATGAGAAAGTCCTTTCTAGTCCTTTCCTGAAGTCTCTGGGTGATATAAACAACTGTTATTATACTTGGCTGCCAACTGAAAGGTTGGAGGTTTGGGTGCACCCAGAGGTACCTTTGAAGAAAGGTCTGGCAATTTGCTTCAAAAAAATGAGCCACTGAAAACCCTATGGAACACAGTGGTACTCTTATACACGGGGGTCATCATGCATCAGAGCTGACTCAAAGACTACTGTCGAGGGCTCATCCCAAAGCTCACATTTGGAAGTAGCCTCACTGTTGCCTGTCTGTGCCCTAGGAATGTCCCCACTATGCCTACTCCTCTCTTGCCACACCCTTCATTCTCATCCTCCTCTCCTCCAATCCAGGAGGAGCTACACCCAGAGAAAACAAGAGTGTGAGATTGGGAAGGGTGGGAGAGATGAGGCAAGGGAGGGTACTTCGTGTAGAACATTCCAGAAGCCCAAACCCAGTCCAAGTGGCTGTTGGCGCCTGAGAGCAGCTGGAGGCACAAGAGTGAGTTGCCGCCAACAAGCAACAAGCCTCCTTCAAACCAGAGCACTGTTAGTTCTCCACCCACTCCCTGAAGTGCGTTTTCTACATCCTAGAAAAGGTTCTTTGCCTGGCAAGAACAGCCCACCCAATGTGAGGACAATGAAGACACGTGGGTGGAAGAGAGAGGGGAGTAAAGAAACCTCAGAATCCCAGATCTAGGAGTTCAAGTCAGAATTTCAAACCATTTTAGTCCTGGTGTGGCGCTGTGGCTTAATGCACTGGACTTCAAGGTTAGTTTGAACCACAAGAGCAGCGGTTCAAACTCAGCAGCCACTCCTCAGAAACTCTATACAGAGTCACTATGAATTGAAACCAACTTAACAGCACTTAACAACAACAAGAAGTTATGCTGTGGCGTTGTAGGATAAGCACTTGACCACAAAGTCGGTTTGAACCACACAGTCAGCAATTCAAACTTACCAGCCTCTCCTCGGAAACCCTATACAGGGTCACTATGAGATGGGACTGACTTGACAGCACTTAACAACATCAGCTTGGACCACAGCCCTCCTCTGACTTCCTGTAACTCTTACTTCCTACCCAAAGCAGAATATCCACCTATGCTGAATTGTCTGCTGACTTCTCTTCCCTTACCAGGTGTGGAAGCAGCAGTCAAGAGATCAGACGACGTATTGCATTGGGCAAACCTGCTGTACAGGAACTTTTTAAAGTATTGAAGAGCAGAGATGTCAGCTTGAGGACTAAGGTGCACCTGACCCAAGCCATGGTATTTTCAATCACCTCATATGCATGCGAAAGCTGGACAGTGAATAAGGAAGATCGTAGAAGAATTGATGCCTTTGAGTTGTGGTGTTGGAGGAGAATACTGAAAGTGCCATGGACTGCCAAAAGAACCAATAGATCTGTTTTGGAAAAAGTGCAGCCAGAGTGCTCCTTGGAGGCCAAGATGGCTAGGCTTCGTCTCTCATACTTTGGACATATTGTCCGGAGGGAACAGTCGCTGGAGAAGGATGTCATGCTGGGTAAGGTGGAGGGTCAGAGTAAAAGAGGAAGACCCCTAACGAGATGGATTGGTCAGGTGGCATCATTGATGGACTCAAGTGTGGCAGCGGTAGTGAGGTTGGCCCAGGATCAGACATTGTTTCGTTCTGCTGTGCATGGGGTCGCTATGAGTCGGTTCCAACTCGATGGCACCTGACAACAACAACAACCAGGTGGGCTCATTCATCTTAATACCCTCAGTACCAATCACAGGACGAGGCACATAGTAAGTGCTCAATCAAATTTCACTGACCAACACTGTCCTAAAATCTCAGATATCCATCACCAAGGACCTCAGGGCAGGACCAATCCCAGGAGGGACAATTTCTATTCCAGAGTCTCCCGTTGTCCCAAATCCATCCAGGCCTCATCATCTAACAAACAGAACCTAACCTGGATGCTCCCTGTGTCTTTTTCTTTGGGGAAGAATTTTCATCTTCCCCTATTTCACCACTGGAAGATATTCTTGATGCCATCCTCATGTCCTTACGGATGCAGCCTTCGCTCTCTCCTTCTTTTTGGAGAGAAGCACCTGGTCCCCACACCCAACAGTCAAGTCTGTTCAGAGGGCTGAAGTGTCCTCAGTACCCAGCATGCACAGAGGCAACTTCTGATCTGATTCAGGGTAACACATCACATTCCTCAATTTCATCTACTCTACAGTAAAAAGGGGTTCCTACCACCTTCCTCTCAGAGCTTCTAGGAGCAAGAAACAAAATGACGGGACAGAGACTCCATCTGATCTGGTCCCTGGCTGTTCCTGCAAAATATACTGTTCCGTTCCACCACAGGGCCTTTGCACATGCCCTTCTCTTCTGTGTGGAATGCTCTTTTCCTATCCCAGTTACACCAGGTTAGTGTTCATTCATCCTCATGCTTACTTCTTCAAGCTAAGTCAGTTTCTTATTTCTTTTTCACCATGGTGGTGGTTATGTGCCATGGAGTTGGTTCCGACTCATAGCGACCTTGTACAGGGTTTCCGAGGCTATAAATCTTTACAGGAGCACAAAGCCTCATCTTTCTCCTGTGGAACAGCTAGTAGTTTCAAACTTCTGACCTTTAGGTTCACAGCCCGATTCATAACCACTACGCTACCAGAGCTCAGAGCTCCTTTTTTACCATAAGGTCTCACGAAATGTATTCCTTCCCCTTAGAGCATTAATCTCAGTGTGTAATTATGAGTATGACTTTCTGACTCCCATTCATTCATGCTCACTGGGAGTTGGAGTCATATTTTATATTGCCTGTTATTGACTCCCCAGAACCTGGTACAGTGTCTGGAACATAGTGTTGTTATTGTTAAGTACCACCGAGTTGGTTCCGACTCACAGTAACCCTGTATAGGGTTTCTGAGGAGCAGCTGGTAAGTTTGAATCACTGACTTTACGGTTCAAACTGACATTGCTGTCCAGTGCTTATCCTACAGTGTCACACACTAGGACTCCATAGTGGTGGTGGTGGTGATGTGCCATGGAGTCGGTTCTGACTCATAGGGACACTGCATAGGGTTTCTGAGGCTGTAAATCTTTATGGGAGCAGAAAGCCTCATTTTTCTCTCATGGAACAGCTGGTAGTTTCGAACTGCTGCGCTTGAGGTTAGCAGCCCAACTCGTCACCACTATGCTACCAAGCACACAAAAATATCTACTGACTCAATGAATCAATGAGTGACTGAATGAATGGAAGGGAAGCACTGAACATAGGGCTTGAACAGAGCAGATGTCCCCCAGAGTCTTCTGTCTTCCCTCGGAATGGCTGAGCCTCTAGGGTTTCTTCTCTCACATCTCTTTTTGAATTCCTCATCATCATATCAGCAGGAAATCAGGCAAAGCTTCAGAGGGCCAGCGAAGAATGTGCTTTAGTGTGACCCAAGAGGCGGTACACATGAGTCAGGAATATAGAACTGGCTGCCTACAGCTTGCTCCCTGCCCCTAACCCACCCCCACACTCAAGCCATGGACAGCAATTCTGCCTCCCACACTGGAATCCCAGGGCACAGTGCCTGGAAGCAGGGGATGGGCTTGAAATGGCCATTTGATCAATTGTCCCAATTGCAGTCTCAGCTCCGTGGCCTCCTAAGTATGACCTCGGGCAGGTCCCCCTAAACACAGACCACAGCTCCCCATCTGTAAAACTGCTACATGTGCCTGAGTTGTAGGATTTTCCCCCTACAAACACCATCTCAGGGATAGATGGAGGGTGGGCTTGGGACCTAGTAAGCTAAGAGTCATTTATAAGGTACACTTGGCAAGTTTGGGTCAATTCTGTCCATGCCACTCCTCTGTAGGGCCACCCAAAGTGGGAAGTACAGCAGCCATGATCACTGAGCCTGTGCAGCAACATGCCCCTCAGACCTTTCCGCTGGAGGCCTTGAGATCCCATCGGGGGGCTGGAAACCCAATGCTAGTCTGGCATCTGAAACCCACAAACACTAGCTTGAGGTCCAGATTGTTCTAGACTCCCGTCCCAGTTGTCCTGTCCTGTTGGACACCTTGCAGCCTCCAGCTTGAGGGAAAGTCTTCTCCCTGGGTATGAGGGCTGAAGTTGTCAGGAAGACTTCTTGTTATTGTTAAGTGCCGTGGAGTTGGTTAGCGACCCTGTACGGGGTTTTCGAGGCCGTAAATCTTTACGGGAGCAGAAAGCCTCATCTTTCTCCCGCGGAACAGCTGGTAGCTTTGAACTGATGACCTTGTAGTTCACAGCCCGATTCGTAACCACTACACTACCAGAGCTCCTAGTCAGGAAGACTAGTACCCAGCAAATAAGAGCAGGCTATGGAGCTCACTCACTCAGAGACCTGCTCCTGGTGGCATCCTTATTCCGCAGCCCTTGATAACTGGAATGGACAAAGTCTTTTGAGAAGTCCTGACGATCTTACCTGGGTGACGGCGGATTCAGAGGGACACAAACCAGGCCCACTCTGGGGTTGGAAAATCAAGGTTGTAAATATCAAGGCAAGTGGGAGTGGGCCCAATTGAACCAGACCAAGTCTTTAAAGCAACAAGGCCGCAGGGAACCACACTAAAGACACCAAATGCCAAGTCAGAAAACCTAACATGTCACAGCTGAAAGGCACCTGGACACCCGCAACTCCTGGTGGAGACAGACACACTGTGCCCAGGACCCCTACCAGCATCCCTTTATTTTATTGGCTGTCTGAGTCCTTGTTTGCATTCTGTAAGAGGCCACACCCAGATTGCCTCTCTGCTCTGCCTGCCCAGTGGACAAGGCAGGGTTCATCAGAAACCAGGGTAAAGCTGAGCTACTGACATGCTAACTCCCTGAAAAGGTTTGCAAAATGATGAGCATGGGTGTTCCGATGCACTCTTACAGGGAGGATCCACAGCTTTCCTGGGATTCCCACAGGTGTCTAAGATCCTGGTAAAGCAAAGTTCCTCCTTTCTGAGGGGACAGGAAACCAGGTAGGGTCTTTAAGAACTCAAATCGTGGTTCTCAACCTCCCCCCTCACCCCCCAGTAGACATGTGGCCCTGTCTAGAGACATTTTTTGATGATCAAGATTGGGCGGGTACAAGACCACGGTGCTGCTGAACATCACCGTACAGTGCACAGGACAGCCCACACCACAAACAGCTGTCCACCCACAGTGTCCCTAGCGCTGAGGTTGGAAATCCTGCTCAAGGACAAGCATGTGGGACATGCCAGGAAATGGATAATGAGCCCCTCTGCCTCTGTGCATGACTCCCCGGGCCCACCCAAGGGGCCTGCTACACACCCAGCAGGCTGGCAGAAAGCCCCTGGCAGAGGGACTATTTGTCCATGAAGAGGCACACTGCTAATGCCTGGCACTTGCTGTGCCTGAGCTGTGTCCAGTGGCTACATGTCCCTAGTCAGGACTCAGGTGGTGTCCAAGGCGATAACTCATCGCCTGGGGTGGGGACAGGAAGGCACTATGCCCGGTCACTTGAATCCAGGTCAGGAAAGAGAGCTGCCCTTGAGCCAGCTAGAACAGGCTCCACCACGTGAAAAGCTCACACTTACCTGCAGACTGCTGGGTCATCACCCTCCCCTCATCTTCCTCTGGGGAAGACGGGAAGCGAAGGACAAGGGAAGAGAGGCAGGCAAGAGAAGCAGGTGATCAGGGTGACAGGAAGAGCAAACAGGAGAGAGAAAGAGCAGTTAACAGGGGTGACTTATTGATAACAGAGATTTTGTTGAGAAAAGGGAAGAGGCCAAGCCAGGTGAGGTGAAGGCAGAGCTGGACTCTCCCCAGAAAAGCCTCAGGGGAGGCAGAGAGTGCTGCTCAGTACAGGGCTCCCCAGCTCCAGGCTGGGGACCAGGGGGGCTAGTGAAGCACAACTTAAGGGATGTTCACTCTGGGACCAGGCAAGTCCCACCCTCTCATGATCCCTGTGCCCAGGGCTTGCGTGGGCTAAGTCTCTAGCAGGCAGGCTCTCAGTCCCCTTGAAAGCCCTGTGACTCAGTCTCCCTGGCCATGCAGACACCTCCTGAGTGGGAGGTTGTGCCCAGACTGTGTGTCTAGTGGGTCACAAATGCATGCTGTTTCCGTCCTACCTGGCTGGATCAGTCTCCTGGGGACTAAGGAGAAAAGGTAAGATTGGCACCACAGGCCCTGCCCAGCCTAAACCAGAGTCCAGGGAGCAACTTCCTGACCTCAGCCTGCTCGAAGTTGTCACTAAGGGCCTAGAGCCACCACTCTCTCCTCCATGGAAGCAGAATGAGCCAGGGGTGGGGAGACCCTTCTCAGCAGGCCCTCAGCCCCACCTTCCACTGAAACCAGGACAGAGCTGGGGAGTGGCTCCAGAGAAAGGCAGCTGATTTCCTGTCCCAGAGTCCCTCCTCAAATGCAAAGCAGACCGCTGCCCAGAGTCAGGGATGTGGAAGAAGGGACAGGAAGTGAGGGAGGGTCAGGAGACATGGGGCTGAGGGCGTCAGAACCGAGGAGACAGGCAGCAGAGGTGGCTGCTGGTGAGTTTTGGTTTGTCGGGCAGGGTTTTGTATGCCGGAGAAGACAAAATGGGTGAGTGCCCTGAACAACGGATGTGGAGCCTGTGATCCGTGGGGCAGAGCCAGCTGGGCTGGAAGTAGAGACCCTGCCCTTGAGCTATTGGATTACATTTCCTTGGCTCTGTGTCTGTGTGCATGGATGTAGCACACATGTGTATATGCAAATGTATGTGTGTGTGTGTTGCACATTTTTAAGGGTACATATGTACTTGTGTGTTTGAGTGTGTATGTGTGTGTGTGTACACACAAGCCTGAACACTTTGAGACCAGCACATCAGGCTTCTGGCCGGGAGCTAATGCCTCCAGTGAAACAGACCAGGCCTTCAAATCCCCAAATCCAAAGTTGAAAGTGGAGCTGTGACCCAAGTCAATGGCAAGAAGACTGAGAAGGGATTTATGATCCCAAATCCCTCCCTGAATGAACTCAAAGCTGTCATCCTTCTCTCTCCGGTCATTTTCGGATTCCATCCCGAGACCCCCAATCCAGATCCACAGGTCCCCCACCCCCAGCCTTGCCAAAGTCACTCACCGCCTGTGGGGTGCAACAGGATGTCTGCAGGATTGTGAGGTTTCAGGCCCAGAGCAGACAGAGGTGTCTTGGCCAGACCCGGAGGGGAACGCACTGTATGGGAAATTAGAGGGGGCACATAGAGAGCTAGTGAGTGTGGGGGTACATGGAAACAGGGATGGAGAAAAAGGGTAGGGAACTCCATAAGGTGTGTACTGTCAAAGGGTGAGCAGAGGAACCAGCTTCCAGCCCCAAGGGGGTGCAGAGCACTGACCCTTCCGCTCTCCACATTTCTGCACATGGTTTAGATGACAAAGACAAAAAGCACTGGTTTAGGAATCCATAAATGGTGCCCTGTCCTGACCTAATCCTGCCCCCAACCTTACAGCAATCATTTCTCACTCTAGGCCCTTTGTTTCTTCTCCTAGTCCCTGGACATCACCACATTTACCACATGTATGTGCAGGCTTCATCAGCTAGCTCTGACTTCCTCTTTAGTAACATTTCTTCTTCTCCTTTTCCCAGACCCCACTCCCACCCCTCATAGTATGTTGAACAATGGATCTAGATAGACTTAGAGAACAAAAGACAATGGAGTATCACGATGACATACGCCATCAAGGTTAGGAGGAGTCACAGGAGACCAGACTGGGATGACACCAACCCTGAGACCTCAGGCCAGCACTCAGATCATGGTCTGCGGCTCCCAGTTAAAGGGGTCGCTTGCAAACCCAGAAAGAGAGAATTCCTCACATGTGCGGTTCCCTGTGCCCCCATTCACTGAAAGAAAGAGAAGCTTGGTCCTCACAATCTTTGGCTACAGCACCAGTTCCCTGAGCGAGTCCCATCTGCCTCTGAAAACACCTGAGTTAGGGATGCCACATAACACCCAAGGTTAAGAAAGGACTCTCAGGCTTGGTTCCATCGGCCAAGGACATGGCCAGACTCTGAACTGATGGAAAAGGTGGTTGTTATACCCAGTCACGAGACTTCTCAGTGACGGCTGCCACGTCTCCTAACACACCTCTGAGGAGAATTAAATAAGGGAGCCCTGTGTCTCCTCTCAGGGACATCAAGAGTCGGCAGAGGCTGCAGTCCCTGAGGGTGTCAGTCAGAACCTCTACCTGCCACAGCCCAGTGGCCTCTGCAGACAGGATGTGAAAGTCAATCACAAAGAGACAAATACTGTAGGATTCCATTTTATGAAATAACATGCATAGGATTCTATACAGAGACCAGTGCTCATTCATGGTCACCAGGGGTCGGGGAGGGAGAAGAGATGAAATATTTTTTTCAAATAGTGGTCACTTTTAGTTTATGGGATGGGAACTGTAGCACCCAATGTGAGTAAAGTCTACACAACCATTTACATTGATGTAATTTAAGGTGTCCATAAGAAAAGGGATGAGTTGGTAAATGCTATAAATAATTTCACAACAGCCAAAATATAGGTAGATTGTTGTTGTTGTT